AAGCAAAGGAAATGATGGTTTGGCTTAGCTGAGCTGTTGCATTCCGCAAATAATTAACAGCAGCCGTTTGTGTGAGAGAGTTGTGGATTTAAAGCACCTGATCTGAGTCATGAATTGAATTTAAGATCTCAGTCTGGCCCCACATGTGCCTGGGACAGGTGCTCTAGATGTAGGTATAGCCAAATTGCTTGCTTCACTGATGAACAATTCCTTCTGAAGCAGCTCACCTATGTAGCTCCTGCCAGATGGTGTGAAAGCAGGTGACATTAGACGAGGGGTAGCAAACTGCCAGCCTGACCCTGACCACCAGGGATATTTATGTGGCTTGCTTGACCTATTCAGAGTCTGCTTACAGCAGAATCTTAGTGCCTGTTTCAAGGGAAAAAGCAAGTTCCTGACTCTTGTGATGGCAAAGAATACTTCCAAATATGAGCTGAAGGAAAACCAGAGCAATGTTACCTTCCTGCGTCTTCACAGAGCATGCAACAGTAGCTCAGAGAGGTGTAAAATCCTCGGGCCCCTATAAATCTCATTAGACAGGTCAAACAAAAAAGCTCACACTTTAAAGTCAAGATGAGCTACTGCCTAGCTGATCATGCTCGCAGCTGGAGTGTGGAAGGGGGAAGGAGAGAAGTCCCAGGTGGTTGGAAACAGGCGCGGTACAGAAATGTAGAGGGGAGGAGCTGAGGAGAGAGACAGAGAGGAAGAAGGGGAGAAAAGGAGGTTGGGGAAAGAAGAAAAAGGAGGGGCAGACACAGAAGTGGCCCAAAAGGAGACTTATTTTTCTATATTGAGGGATTCATTAGTAACTACAAGTTCAGTGAGCAGTTAAAGGCCTGATTCTCTCCTTGATCCCATTTCACTGCTCAAGGTAGAATTTGGCCCTTTCTCCCACGAGTTTCCCACCACTGCCCCTCCCATCCTCTGAAAGCAGCTGAGTTCCCAAAGACAGGTAGAGTTCTGGGGTCAGGGAGGAGTTAGGGCTCTCTGCTAGCCGTATTGGGGCAGAGGTGATAGAAACCTCTGGGATCCTGGGGTAAAGAGCCCCCTATTCTGAACTGTACCTGGAATCGGAGGCTGCAGCATGCACCTGGAGCCAGAGGGACAGAAAGGTTCAGTGGCATTGGAAAAGGTTCAGAAAAGGGCAACAAAAATTATTAGGACATTGGAGCAGGTCCCCTATGAAGACAGATTAAAAAGACTTGGACTTTTCAGCTTAGAAAAAAGGAGAATAAGGGGGGATAGGATAGAGGTCTATAAAATTATGACTGGTATGGAAAAAGTGAATAAGGAAAAGTTATTTACTCATTCCCATGATATAAGAACTAGGGGTCATCAAATGAAATTAATAGGCAGCAGGTTTAAAAGAAACAAAAGGAAGTTTTTCTTCACTCAGTGCACAGTCAACCTGTGGAACTCCTTGCCAGAGGATGCAGTGAAGGCTAGAACTTTAACAGGGTTCAAAAAAGAGCTAGATAGATTCATGGAGATTAGGTCCATCACCGGCTATTAGTCAGGATGGGTTGGAATGGTGTCCCTAGCCTCTGTTTCTCTGGAAGTGGGAGACAGAGGAGGAATCTCGTGAGGTTTACCTGTTGTGTTCCCTTCCTCTGGGGCATCCGGTAGTAGCCCCTGTTGGCAGACAGGATACTGGGCTAGATGGACCTTTGGTTTGACCCAGTCTGGCCGTTCTTATGTTCTTATGAAAGCTTAGGCCTAAGAATATTAGAATTGCAATTCTGGCCTAGCTCAGTGTTTGGCCTAGTCCAGCAACCTGTCCCCAGTACCAGCCAAGTCACAGGGAGGTGCAAGAAACTCTGCAGCAGCCTTTATGGGATACATGCCCTGCTCCCAGAGGAATTTCCCTGCTAATCCCCAACAACTAGAGATGGGCCTCAGCCATGAAGCAGGAGGGTTTATGTCCCTTCCAAAAAATGTTGTGGATAAAGATGGTGAAGATCTCAATGACACATAGAGCATCCAGAGTAAAATGGCAGATGGCTCCATACAGTATGTGCAGGGCTTAGTATAGAATACATAGTGCTTCCTTCTGCTGGCTTTATGATGCTGGAGCGTTCCCTGGTTCACACGGCCAGGGGTGGAAATAATGAGCCAGGAAGAGGAGGCTCTCTGAACCCCCAGCCCAGTAAACCCCAGGGATCAAGATTATACTGATTTTCCAGCTGATAAGCTAACACCCTCTCCAATTCCCCCTCACCTCCTTCTCCAATGGGCTCCAGCCATTGCTGATCTATGAACCCAGCATTCCGACACAGCTCTGAGACAGGACTCACCCTGTCGAAGTCCGGAGGGGACACCACGTTAAGGGAAAAGATCTTAGCTGGACTCCTAAGTCCTTCCGGGAGAGGCGGAGGGGGAAAAGCAAATGTCAGCCCACCCCCCATCCTTCAGGATAAGCTCCTGACTTAGGGAGGGGAAGGGGGTGGAAGGGAGGAGGGTGATGGGGTTGAGTGGAGAGGGAAATAGCTGTTCTATGGAATCTCCCCTTGTGTCATTCCGAAGAATGAGTCCTCTGCACAATAACTCACCAGGCCGCCGGCAGGGGATAAAGGGCTCACTCTGCCACTCGCTGGGCTGCAAATATTTTCAATTTGCCACTTTAATTGATGTCAATAAGGTTATGCTAAATTGGAAGATTTTCAACATTTCTGCTTTCGAGCGTCACGCTGGCCTCCCGAGATGACCGCCGGCCTCCCGGCGAGCGGCCAGCACAAACACCGCACGCCCGCCCTTCCCCGGTGACAAGCGACGAGACCCGCCTAAACGTGTCAGTCGTCTCTCCTCCCCCCCGCCCCCGCTCCTCATCCGGGCTCCCAGCCTGCAGACACTCACACCCGTGCGTCACTTTACAGGAGTAACCTGGCGGATTTCAGGACGACGGCACGCGGTGGTAAAGTGAAGCAGGTGCACAAGGTTTTTCAGGATCGGGGCCCCACTTCCCAGTCCTAGAGGCAGATTGATCCGGTTGGCTTTACAGAGGGGGTCTCTTTGAACAGGCGTTTTCTCCATCCAATCAACTAAGGGTGTTTATGGCCCCACAGAGGTTTATGGGTAGCCTTCATTGCATTTTACTATCAAATGTATAACACTGAGAGGGGCTGGACCAGTCACAACAATTTAACCCCCATTGCCTCGCCTGGGCTTCTGAGGAAGGAGAGGGTTTTCCCAGCTGGAGTCAAAACAGGGAGGTGGTTATTCAGATCTGGTTCAGATGGGGGCCCAGGATCACGGAAATCTCATGAGAACAACTGATCTGTAGTCTACCTTTATTTCACTCTATTCTCCAGGACTTTCAATCTGGCAAACGTATGTAACTCACACACCTAGTGTGGAATAGTGATAGAGATGTAGCCGTGTTAGTCTGGGGTAGCTGAAGCAAAATGCAGGACAATGTAGCACTTTAAAGACTAACAGGATGGTTTATTAGATGATGAGCTTTCGTGGGCCAGACCCACTTCCTCAGATCAAATAGTGGAAGAAAGTTGTCACAACCATATATACCAAAGGATACAATTAAAAAAAATGAACAAATATGAAAAGGACAAATCACATTGCAGAACAGGAGGGGGATGCAGGGGGGGGGAGGAAGGAAGGTAAGTGTCTGTGAATTGATATTAGAGGTAGGGAGAGTGGGATGTTTGTGAGTTAATGGTATTAGAGGTGATAATTGGGGAAACTATCTTGGTAATGGGTGAGATAGTTCAAATGTTTGTTGAGTCCTTTTTGGAAAGTGTCGAATTTTAACATGAATGACAGTTCAGAGGATTCCCTTTCAAGTGCAGATGTAAAAGGTCTTTGTAGCAGAATGCAGGTGGCTAAGTCATTGAGAGAGTGTCCTTTCTGGTTAAAGTGGCAAGAAACTGTTTTCTCTTTGTGATCTTGTCTGATATCTGTTTTGTGGGCATTAATCCTTTGGCGAAGTGTCTGAGATGTTTGTCCAATGTACATAGCAGACGGACACTTTCAGCACATGATAGCATAGATTATATTTCTGGATGCGCAGGAATATGTGTTCTTGATCTTATAACTCACTTGGTTAGGTCCAATAATGGTATCAGCAGAATGAATATGTGGACAAAGCTGGCAACGGGGTTTGTTGCAAGGGAAGGTACCAGGGTTGGTATTAGTGTGGTATGTCCTGTGGTGGTTGGTAAGAATCATCTTGAGGTTAGTGTGACCTAGTGTGGGTCACTGTCCCATGCAGTGGCACTTAGACCACAGCAACAGATAAGACCAAGAGACCTCTACAGCAGGGGCTGGGAGCCAGCTGGCTTTTAGCTCAGAGGGTAGAGGCTCCTATACTAAGTTCTAAAGGTCCCAGGTTCAAATCTTCCTGGTGTTGGTTACAAGTGGGGACTTGTCCGGAATCTCAACTGGGTCTTGCAAGCTCAGGGACATGCTTCCTCACCTGGGGGAAGTATGTAACCCACACACCTAGGCTATGTCTACACTCGCAGCTTCTTACGTGAGTAATATGCAAATGAGGCTAAGCGTGGAATATTGCCGAGCCTCATTTGCATAGCTAATGAGCCACCATTTTTTTCAGAAGAGGCTCTTGCGCAAGAAGGAGCATCTACACTGCCCCTTGCGCAAGAAAAACCCTCTTGCGCAATGCCGTTACACCTATTACTTGACAGGAAGAACGGCATTGTGCAAGAGGGTTTTTCTTGTGCAAGAAGGGGCAGTGTAAACAAGAGGCAAGAGCCTCTTTTGAAAAAAATGGTGGCTCATTAGCTATGCAAATGAGGCTCGGCAATATTCCACGCTTAGCCTCATTTGCATATTACTCGCACAAGAAGCCGCGAGTGTAGACATAGCCCTACTGTGGTTCACTGTCCCATGCAGTGGCACGGTAACGATTACGAGTTAGCCACCCCATTTATTGGCTGGCCCTAGACCACTTGAAGGCAGATCCAGCGATGTTTAAGCACACGCTTTTCCTGAGCCCATGGACATGCTTTCCCCCTTTGCTTCCCCAGGTGATGAGTATCCTGAGCAACCCGAGCGGGGTTCCGCCGCAGCCCCAGGCTGACTTCTCCATCTCACCCCTCCATGGTGGTTTGGACACCACCAACTCCATCTCTGCCAGCTGCAGCCAGCGGAGCGACTCTATCAAGTCCGTTGACAGCCTCCCCACCTCGCAGTCCTACTGCCCTCCCACCTACAGCACCACTGGTTATAGTGTGGACCCCGTGGCCAGCTACCAGTATGGACAGTATGGACAAAGTGAGTATCGCTCCCACCAGAGTTGGCTGTACTTAAGCAGAGTTAGGTGCAAGGGGAGCTGGGATAGAGCAACCAGCAGCCAGATGCGGGATTGGCTTTGCCCTCAGGAAAGGATGCCCATGAATGTCTGTACAGAGAATTAATCTCTAGGGAATGACCCACCAGACACCATCCTGCTCTGTCTGTGCTCAGTACAGGGTCGCCCGCTTGCCATCTATTGGAAAAGTCGGGATGAAAGACATTAAATAGAAATGTTTATCTTGTGGGAGGAAGAAGGGTACCTCCAGGATCCCTCTGCTTCCCCATCTCCTACTCCTGCACCCTAAAAGGTCCGACCTCATAGTGACCCTGCTTCTGTCCAAGGAGAGTGAGCCATGACTCCCTGTAGAGTCCATCAGTGCAGCTCTTCAGGGATATAAAACAACTTGTACTTGCCTTCCTGTCCTCCATGTGCTGTGTTCCTAAGTCTCTGCTGCTCTTCCGTGGAGGCTTCCTTGCAAAAACACCTGTTTCCAACCCCCCTGGGGCTTCCCTCCTACCCCCTTCCACATTCCAGCTGCTGACATGATCAGCGACACAGTAGCTTGCCATAAAATGTCAGTTTGGTTTGACTAAATGAGATTTAGAGGGGACCAAGGATTTTACACCTCTCTGAGCCATTGTTTCAGGCCCTATGAAACCACAGGAAGGTAACATTGCTCTGGTTTTCCTTCAGTTCCTGTTTGGAAATGCTCTTCACCTTCACGAGGGTCAGGAACTTGCTTTTCCCCTGAATTCAGATTTCATTTAAAGCAGAATCTCAGCATCTGTTTAAAGTCATGCAAGCTACATAAACTACCAAGGGTTCCACTAGGTAGATGCTTCAGGTGACACACCCTCTCAGCTTTGGGGCTTTGTTAAACAGAGGAGACTCATGCCAGACACACAGAGGTGGATACGTGGCCTCTGCTATTACACACGCAGACCTATTGGGAACGGAATCCAAGCAGCAAAGAAACAAAAACTAAACCAAACGAGCTTCTCTAGCCCTTTTATTTGAACTCCGTTCCATGCCAGCAGGTCCACAACGTGTGGGTAGGTTCTGGAATTTCACAGGCATAGGAATTATTGTTTTTATTCCCTCCAGGATAGGAATGGTTGGATGGTTGAATGAATGGAGGAAATATGCCTTTCCCAACATTCAGAAATTGTTGACTGGGAATGGGAAGTGATTGTCTAGGAGGGAGTACTGCTGAAAGGAGTTTAGGGGTCATAGTGGACCACCAGTTAAACATGAGTGTGACACTGTTACAAAAAAAGCAAACATGATTCTGGGATGCATTAACAGGAATGTTGTGAGCAAGACACGAGAAATCATTCTTCCACTCTATACTGCACTCATTAGGCCTCTTTTGGAGTATTGTGTCCCGTTCTGGGTACCACATTTCAAGAAAGATGTGGAGAAATTGGAGAAAGTCCAGAGAAGAGCAATAAAAATGAGAAAAGGTCTAGAAAGCATGAGCTATGAAGGGAGACTGAAAGAACTGGGCTTGTTTAGTTTGGAAAAGAGAAGGCTGAGAGGGGACATGAGAGCAATTTTCAAGAATCTAAAAGGGTGTTAGAAGGAGGAGGGAGAAAAATTGTTCTCCTTGGCCTCTGAGAATAGGACAAGAAGCAATGGGCTTAAAGTGAAGCAAGGGAGGTTTAGTTTAGACAGTAGGAAAAACTTCCTACCTGTCAGGGTGGTTAAACACTGGAATAAATTGCCTAGGGAGGTTGTGGAATCTCCATCACTGGAGATATTTAAGAACAGGTTAGACAGACACCTGTCAGGGATGATCTAGATGGTGCTTGGTCCTGCCATGAGGGCAGGGGACTGAACTCGATGACCTCGCGAGGTCCCTTTCAGTTGTAGGATTTGAGGGAAAAACAGTTCTGATGTTACTACCACACTGTCTCCGGATTCTGCTGAAACATTCCTTCCTGAAGTCTCCTTCTAGAAATATTGGCTCAGCAGATCCTGGGAAATCACCATCCAATGGTTGAGACAGAGGTCTTTTGAAATCCACGCTGACAGGGTGAAATTGCCAGGCACGTGTGTGTTTCACAAGTGACATATCCAGGAGTCCTTGTGGAACTAAAGTGGTCATTCCAAGTCTGGTGCCAGTTCCAAACCTTAGTGCTTCACAGCTACTGGGCCTTTTATGCCACCACTTCCCTTGTGACCACGGCAGGTCAGGGCCATCAGATCTCACTTGTTGCCGCAAGAGAGTGTGGGGGCGGGGCAGGGGGAGGTTGCAGGGGGAAAGAGGTCCCAGCCACTCAAGAAGGTTTTGTATTGGAGTCTAGTATCAGAGGGGTAGCCATGTTAGTCTGAATCTGCAAAAACAATGAGGAGTCCTGTGGCACCTTATAAACTAACAGGTTTATTGGAGCATAAGTTTTCATCGGCAAAGACCCACTTCGTCAGATGCATGTAAACTACAAAAGCTTATGCTCCAATAAATCTGTTAGTCTATAAGGTGCCACAGGATTCCTCGTTGTTATTGGAGTCTGTGGGTATCTCTACACTTGCACCCTAGTTCGACCTAGGGTGCAAGTGTAGACATACCCTGTGACTCTTGCAACTCGTGCTGAGCAACACTGAGGATTAGGATTCGTTTGGCAAAACCTCGTCAGCCCGGTTTTGGTTGTAGGAAAATTAGAGAGAGACCAGAGTCAGGGTCCCATGTGTGAACACACTCAAGCTTTAGAGACAGGTAGATCTGGAGCTAAACCCAGCTTTGATTTATTTGACATTGGACGGTTGGGAGATGGCGCATCCCTGAACCAAAACCAGTGTCAGGGAGTGTGAGCATCCAAGCCCAGAGTGTCAAGGGTCTGCCCCCTGAGCCCAGGCTCACTGAAATCATGTGGAATCTCTCAATGGACTTTGGATCAGGCCCAAAAGACAGCGGGTGGGAGGATCTGTTTCACCTCTAGAACGACTGGGTCACAAAAGCACTGGAGACCCGGCAGAGGGCTCACCTGCCGGTGTTAAACTAATAATAAGTGTGTGTTGTGAGAGAGTGACCCGCAATGGGTTAAAGGTGCATCCTCTTCCTCCCCTAACTCTCCAGCTTGCCTATGGCTTGTCCTCAGTGACCTTTCCTTCCATTCGGCCGTGGCTTTTTATTCCCCGCTCCGTCACAGCCCTTTAATGTCTTTAACTTCTATGGCTAAATAAGAACCGGCTGTGGCAGCAGACAGGATCAATAGCCACTTCCCCCTGGCCCCTCCTCTTTTTGTTTTTAGGGAGCTTGATCTGCGACCCCTTGACCCTCCCCTCACCTCTGGACGCAAGACTGGACACACGTGCTATTGATAAAAATCTTAAACAAATTCCAATACCATGTATTTCCAATAAAGATCCCTTCGGGCAGGACGTTAGTCACACCCCATGTGTGTTAAAAAAAAAGGAGGGGGGAGGAGGAGGAATACAAGTTTAAAATAAGAAGGAGTTGAGAAAAGCCTCGAGGAAGATCAAAAAGGAGAGGAAAAGAGAAAGAAACACTTGTCTTGTGTTGCTGCAGGGATTCCTATTTGGGGTTCTCTGTGTCCGTGAAAACACCCTCTCCAGTCCCTGGATATTCTTTTATTTGTCTCCCCTTTTTTGTTTCTGTCTCGTGTCTCATTCTTTTCTGCAGAGGGTTTAGACTTTCATCCAATTTCAAAGTCCGGTTTTGAGCTTGCGGTTCAATCTATGGGACTCAATTTGCCGTGGGAACATTGTCCGGTTTATTTCAAGCAGAATCCAGGCTCCCAAACGTTCGGTGCCCAGCAAAAAATCTCATACTGTTAGACCAGAGGTGCCACGCTCTCCAGAGACATTCAGGTAGCCAGCCACAAAGGGTCCCTTCCTGTTCCTGAGGTGAAGGTATGGTGAGAAGTTTTTAACGTGCACACACACACACACACACACACACACACACACACACACACACACACACACACACACACACACACACACACACACACACACACACACACACACACACACACACACACACACACACACACACACACACACACACACACTGAATCCCCAGTATGTCTTCCCATTGCTGGGAACTGGAATCACTCCCATTCAGATGAACAGTCTTGTAGATGAGGACCAGCAATGCCTATATGACATGCCTGCCTTTCAGCCGGTAGCTATGTTATGCCAGTGTTGTGTGTGTTAAGATGAGATGTATCTGAAACTGCAAAATCCCTAAGTATATGCTGCCTTGTACAGGACCTGCTCAAAATTCACGGATTTCAATAGGCCGTGGAGCAGGTTTACAGAGTACATGATCCATCTGTCTGAGCACATGCAATACCTGGCATAGTCAGCGAGGACTGTGAGTATACAGCACAATGCATACACGCATGCGCACACCTGTATGCTCCTTTTTGTTTTCATTTCCACACTATTAAATCAACACAACATGACTCTGATTTTTGGCAGCAAACCTTCCCAGGAGACCAGAATGAGACTGTTGGGTGGTTTTTACTGGTTGTTTGTTGGGTTTTTAATAATAATGCCACTGCATTTCTGTCACTAAGGGTGTGTGTACACAGCAAAGTTATTCCGAAATAACTATGCAAGCGTCTACACGGCAATTCTGTTATTTCAAGATAATTTTGAAATAACAGATGGCTTATTCTGAATTCTGTAAACCTCATTCTAAGAAGAATAGCACCTATTTCAAAATAGGTATTTTGAAATAAGGTGTGTGTAGACGCTGCACTTCTGATAATTCAAAATAGCCCCTTACAAGGGGTTATTCCTCCTGGGGCTCTTAATCGAGATAGCACGTCTACATTAGGGAAGCCTGCGTTGAACAAATTTTGAGGCTTCCTTGCAGTGTAGACGTGCTATTTCGAAATAAGCTATTTTGGAATAACTATTCCGGAATAGCTTATTCCAAAATAACTGTGCAGTGTGGACATAGCCTTAGTGAAGCCCAAGGAAGAGCAATTTCTGACCAACCTTTAGAACATACTAATTCCCCCAGAGAATTAATGTTCCCAGCTTGTCTGGCTTTCCCTCCCTCAGCAAGTCCGCCAGAGTCCGTGTCTTGCACAAATGTCCCCTTATGTGGGATATACATAAGGATGGATGCACAAAACCAGCATAGGCATAGACACAAATACTCTCCCAGCCCCATACCACAGCACCGCCAATTGTATGGGCAATATGGCCATGGGTCAGGTATGAATGTGGTCCACTAGCCCATCTCACATGCACACACCCACCAAGTACATCTGTGCCTCAGCACAACTATTAAGGGCTGAGCCTTAGGACCAAGCAAACTAGTTTCATGGGAATCTCGTTCTTCCAGAATCTTCCACGCGTCTTCATCCACCCCACATTTCTCAGGCTGTTGGTCCCGTCAGACTGGCCACTTCAGAGACTGAACTCCCTCATAGGCCTCAGGCTGCCCCTCACACCTCAGTGTAACGTCACCCTGTGCCGGAGTCCATTTGCCGCTTCCGTGTACCAAGCTATGAACGTTCACACATAGAGGCTCTGTCCCAGCCGGTGTGGAGCAGGGGTGCCAGATTAATGCGGTCCTTGCAGTTCCCAGAGGCCGGAGCCACGCTAATGATGCCGGTGATGGAACGCAGAAGCGTGAAAGGAATTCTAATAGATATGACAAGTCTAATAAGAATTTGTCTCTGGAAGGGACCCCCTTTGGGGCAGGCATCTGACAAGATGTTGATGGCTGAAATTTGTTTACTCATTGGCACCGATGGTGCATCTCCTGCCAGCTCTTTATTAATCTAATTTGAGATGTTATAGCTAGAGAGAGACTTTGACTGAAGCTCCGCTAATGAGCAGTATCACCATCCTGCCCTGTCCCTCTTCCCCGTCAGTCCACGGGGCAGTCTGTGGATCCAGAACTTGGTCGCAACTTGGGCTATGGAGTGCCAGCATCGCCTCAGGCGTTGCCAGGGTGTCTTCCACGCTAAAGATGATCAACAGAGGCTTCTCCCAGGGCGTGAAATGATCAGAGAGGTATCGACAGACAGTGTGTGGGTCAGATTCTAAGCTCACTCGCGCTGGGCTAGCCCCACTGAAACGAGTGGAATAGTCTACACCCGTGTAACTGAGATCAGTCCCTGGGCTCTGTGGCTGAGAGGTAGCACAGGGAGTTGAGCGTGGAGATCTCTGCGCTCCAACCAGCTGTCCTGCTCTTCAGCCTTCATCCTTAGGCAGCTGCCCAGGAGAGTCTGTTGTCCGTGGGTGATGGGGAAATCTTGTCTTTTTCCAGACATTTGCAGTGCATCTATAGCAACGTGTGCAAAGTTCTGTGAAGGCAACAGCTGCATTGAGCTCCTGCAGGGCCTTCTCCTGTGTCAGGCGGCTCTAAAAGGGTCCGGGTCCATCTGTGAATTTCCTCCCATGACAGGGCCTGTGTGTCGGCAACTACCCCCTCTGCAGGGCCAGCCTGTCTGCGGCTTTCTCTGCAGCGGGGGCTCCTCTGTGGCAGGGCCTGTCTGTCTGCAACTCCCCCTGCGGCCGGGCCTGTCTCTCACAAACCTAATGGCGAGACCTGTCTCTCTCCCCACGCTGCCTCAGCAGGCCCCTTTGTGTTCGTGACTCTGCCTTCTCCACAGCGGGGCGCACACATCTCCAACTCCCTCTGCGGGGATGCTCATGCATCTGTGACTCCCCGCTGTGGCAGGGTCTCTCTGCCTGTGACTGCTCCCCATGGTGGGGAATGTGTGTTTGTGACTCCCCCCACCCCCATAGCTGGGCCTGTCTGTTGGCGATTCCCCCCTGGCCGGCCTTGTTTCTTATCCTCTTTTAACTGGATGTTTTCCCCTCCTTTCCCCCCCCCCAGCTGCTGTCGACTACTTGGCCAAGAATGTGAGCCTGTCTACCCAGCGCAGGATGAAACTGGGAGAACATTCAGCAGTGCTGGGCCTCCTACCAGTAGAGACAGGCCAGGCTTACTGAAGAATCCGTCTGTGCCAACAACCTACTCCAGCAACCTGGTACCACCGGAGAAAACACCACCAGCAGCCTTCCAGGGTTCCACCTCTATCCGGACCCCGCTCCTTCCCTCATCTCCTCCACCCTGCACCACCTCCAGCTGT